GGTGCTGTTCATAAGGCTACATGACACCTACATAAGGTTGTCATTACAACTGACATAACTCTACATAACTGTTTATAAATGCTTATTACAACAGGCATCATCTGTCATAAAGGCTACTTTAGCTGACTTTGATCAAAATTGGCAAATGTAACCTTTATAGCAAATGACGCTTATTGGAACAAGCATTTATAAACAGCTATGTAGGGTTATGTCAGTTGTAATGACAACCTTTTGTAGGCGTCATGTATCCTTATGAACAGCACCCTACAGTAAAGTGTTACCCCCAGTTATTCAAACTACTTTTTCAGTTTTCTAAAATGTGAGTTATTGAATTTATTGAATTTTATTGAATATTTGTTGCAGCCCTATAAAAATAAGTGTGTGTGTGTGTGTGTGTGTGTGTGTGTGTGTGTGTGTGTGTGTGTGTGGTCAAGACACTGAGAAATGAGTAATTATTAACTCTCCACAGATTGGACAAAGTGAAAACCAGAGCAGGATGAGCCTTCAGTGACAGCTTGGGTTTCGTTAAAATCCCTTTCAGGTCCACAGGTTGCTTTTAATCATCGGTTGGCCATCTCAGGTGAGCGGCTGCTGCGATTAGACGTCATATTCATGCCGTAACCCTACACCCTGCGCCAGAGTGTGTGGGATAAAGCCTCAGTCCAGTCTCAAATCAGCCACCTCGCGCCTCCCTGCCATGTTTTCTGATTTCCTGATCATTGACTCCCGTAATGAGATTGGACAGGCATGATTGGTGTATCCCCATGGTCCGATACACTAAATGAGATTAGGCTGACTCCAGGCAGATGGGCTTTCCACTGCCTGAGCCTCTCAAGGCCGCACCGGGGTCCCTGCACCTCGGGCTCTTTTCCTGTCAGGACGCTGTTTACCGTCGTGCCGTGTGGGCCGCGTGGACCAGAGAGGAAATGCACGGCCGCCTGTTCCAGGGACACAGGAAACATGAGAGCGGGTTATCAATGTGGAGTAGGTGGAGGAGAGATCGAATTACCTAATAGGAATAAAACGAGCAAAAGTGGTTGCTGCTTCTCTCTCTCTCTCTCTCTCTCTCTCTCTCTGCCATCTGTTTGTTTCTTGGAGATGCTCCTGAGCCCTGGCCTCCTCTGTATGTTTTATTAATTCACTTCCACCTAATTGCTGCCTCCTGCACAAGCCCTGCTTACATTAATAGACATTTAATCGGTATTTAATCAACGGGTTAATCAGTGCTGCACAAAGCGAAGTCAGGATCAGAGCATCTGCGTGATGGGAGAGACAAGAGAGAGCTCATGATGGCAGGAAGCAACATGCTACGAGGGTTAACTTGGGGTTAGCTGGTGCAAAACTCAGTCTAAGAGTTCTAAGGGTTGGTTTCCCGGACCAGGATTAAGCCTAGTCCTGGACTCCTTTCAGTGGAGAACAAAAAAGACTTACCCTGTGTGTCCAGAGTGACTTTGTTAAGTTTTAACGAAACGATCCAGTCAGTAATCCAGTTCAGAAAACCACCGTTCAGATCCAGTATTTACGTCGGTGTAAATGCCCCATCTAAATGGCTGACTGCATGTGTGCGAATCTAGAACTTTCCCTCGTGTTTCATACAGTCCTCTGATTGACTCAGACTTTGAGTTTAGTGCTGATAATCAGAAATTTACAGCTAAATACACATAAAATTGACTCAAAATGCAGTCACACTTATAAAATTGAGGCTAACCGCTATCCATGCAGTTTGTGCATGCTGCTGATCTTTGCGAAAAAACAGACAGACAGACAGACAGACAGACAGACAGACAGATAAATAGACAGATAGATAGATACTTTATTCATCCTGAAGGAAATTTAGCAAAACATTAAAGAGTTGACAAATGGCCTTGTCCCAATCCACCACACTGAGCGCACTTTCCCTCTTTCCGTCAAAATCACACAACCAGGCCCTAAAACACATTTTTAAAAATTGTGGTTCTTCAAGAGTTCTTTAGTAAACAAAACAGTTCTGTATAGAACCTTAAACACCCAAAGACCCTTTACATGATTAAAAGGTTAAACTGTGCTTTGTATGGTTCCATATAGAACCTTTTTGAAAAGGGTTTCAAATAGCACCAAAAAGGGCTCTTCTATTGTTACAATGACAAGCCTAGAACGATAGAAGAATCCTTTTGCTGCTGTATAGAACTCTTTTCAAAAAGGTTCTATATGGAACCATATGAAACACATAAATCAATTCTCCATCAATCTGAAGAACGCTTTCACAATGCAAAGAACTTTTTAATCATGCAAAGGGTTCTTTGAGTGTTCATGGTTCTAAATAGAACCTTTTTCTTTACTAAATAACCCTTGAAGACCCATCTTTTTTAGGTGTCACTGCCTAAATTGGGATTTTGATCTCCAGTGGAGTGCATCTGCGCTTTGTTTATTCATTCATTCAAGATTTTAATAGTGAAAATAAACTCGGATAGTCATTTTGGGTGGGCTCATGATACAAATGCATGGGCCAATCATAGAACCGTCACTGCTAAGGGATACCATTCCAGGATTGGTGTACATACTCAACAGCTCTCCAGATCTTTTAATGGAGGTTTTCTGATACATTCTTCACATTTGTTATTGGCTTATCTGACTTAAACTTATAATTCCATTATCCAGTGTGGCCCAGAGCAAAATGGGTTCCCCTTTTTGAGTCTTAGTTCCTCTTGATGCTTCTTCCTCATGCATAGTTTTTCCTGCTACTCTCAATCTCTACTTGAGGTCTGAAGATCTCTACACTGTTAGAAATAAAGGTTCTGTTCAGGTACGTTTTTCAGCCATCAAGGTACAAACAATGTAAATGTTCCCTCAAAGGTACAACAGTGGTTTTAAGGTCTGATTTTGAACCTTAAATACGTTTTCCCAGGTGAAAAGTTTGTATTTGTACCTTTTCATAACCGAATGTTTTAAACAGAACAGTAAAATAAAAGCCTGGAGACGAGACGGGGTGTGTGGAGTCAGTACAGCTTAGAACATATCATTTCAGTGGATTATGGTTCAGTTATGTTCCCTGACTAAAGGTACTGAGATGTACCCTTGAGGGTCCCACCCCAGTGACAAGAGGGGCGCTGCCCCAGTGACAGTTTACTGCCACTGAGAGTGTATAAAGCTGCTTTTGGACAATGCCATAACAAACAGCATACAAATAAAGCCGGACAGAACTGGACTGAACTGTGCTGGAAACTCATTTTCTCCTTTTAGGGGTCCAGCACTGGAGCGAGTGTCAGCACAAACGTTATTTACCCATCGATCACCAAATGAACTTATAAAGAAGCCGTCTCTGACAAACCACATTACGCAGACATCCACGACAAGAGAATTACCAGGCCAGGCCACACCCTGACGACATCCCCACACGAACCTGACAACACACAGCATCAATCAACACACAATGGGACACAGAGCAGATGAGGAAGTCCTTTGCCCTGAAAACAATGAGGTCCCTAAACTGCAACCCCATTAAGAAGCCACAATGGAGGCAGGCCGTGCTCCCCAGCATGGAAGGGGATGAGGATAAAACGCACTCACAAAAAAACCCACAACAGTAGCCCACCGCTGCTCTCTGGGTCAGCCGCCATGAACGGTGAATGTGGGCGCCCAAGCAATCGGCTTTAATGGGGTCTGTCCTCGCTGGCACTGGTGGGCCGATTGTGCAAGTGTGTTGTGTGTGTGTGTGTCGATTCTGAGGGTCAGGGGGGCTTCATAGACTCTGTGACCCCGAAAGGAGAGAGAGAGGAATCAGAGGGGGACCCCCACAGCCAGGACAGAGCTCTCTTTTCTGCCCTAATCTGGAGGCATCAGAGATCAATATGGCGAGGACCAGCCGGGACAATAGAGAGAACAGAGTTAGCAGGCTGTCCGAGATCTGGAGGCTCTCTTGGGGGGCATGAAGCCAGTGCCTGTCCTGCCACCCCAGTGCGTAGCCACTGACCTCTGGCAACACTGGGACCCCAGTAGCTAACCTGCTTATCATTCATTAGCATTAGAGACATGGGCAGATGCTCTGATCTGAGGCATGTTGCCCCCCAACCTCCCTCTCTCACTCTCTCTCTCTACGTGAGGTGGACATGAGAGTGCTTTTTCACTCCTTAAGCAGAGATCAGTCACCTTGGCTGTGGTCAGAGCCGGCCTATTGAGCCCTAGATGAAATCTTGAAAATGGACACCACCAAGAAAGAAAACAGAAATGCAGTGTTTTCGTTTTTGGGATTTGTTCTTGAACCTACAAACACTCAAGAACACAATCTGAAGAACCCTTTCATGATGCAAAGAACCCTTTACTCAATAAACCATAATCATAGAACTTTTTTGAGAAGGGTACTGTATGGCACCAAAAACGTTCTTCTATTGTTACATTGTCAGGCTTATTACAATTGAAGAACCATTTTTGGTGCTATACAGAACCTTTTTAAAAAACGTTCTATATAGAACCATATACAGCACATTCTTTATCAGTCAGAAGAACCCTTTCACTAAGCAAAGAACCCTTTAATTATTGAACCATAACCATATAACCTTGTTGAAAAGGGTTCTTTATACCACCAAAAAGGGTTCTTCTATTGTTGCAATGTCAGGCTTGTTTCAATAGAAGAACAGTTTTTGGTCCTATACAGAATATTTTTTAAAAAGGTTCTATATGGAACCCTATACAGCACATTCTGTATCAGTTGGAAGAACCCTTTCATGATGCAAAGAACCCTTTAATTATTGAACCATAATCATATAACCTTTTTGAAGAGGGTTCCATATAGCGTATTGAGTGCTCATGGTTCTATATAGAACCATTTTTTTTACTAAAGACCCCTTAAAGAGCCATCATTTTTAAGTGTGTAGCGTAACAATGAACATAATATACTTAATCAAATAATCAAAGTGAAGTTTTAAACGGCCACACACCACATCTTGGCAGAGTTCTAGACGATGGCATATACATCCTAAAGAATATATCGGTTCTGTCTATGGTTTTTAATGTAAATGACTGACCTTGCTCTCCTGAGTCCAGCCTCGTGAGCTGGACAACCAGGCATTGTTGAAGATGCATCTCCCAGAGCGGCGGACACGGTGGAAGGGACGAGAGTAGCTCCGTGGTCCACTCTGAGACTGGGGCCTTGTAGAGAAGACACGTCCGCTGTGCTCGTCCTGGATCCACATTGAGAGGCTTTTGGTTCTTCTGACTGAAATAAGAACCTTCCAGTGTCAAAGTAAACAAAGTTCTCTGTATTTTTATTCTTTTTCCCCTCTTTCTCTCCGAATCCCGTCTCTTTCCCTCTTACAGACTCACTGCTGTTTGGTCAAGCGTGTCAGAGTTCAGGTCCGCAGCCTAAGGAATGAAGTGTGGAGCTTGTGAGGGCATTAACATTGTTAATTATTACCACTGTGTGCAGGTGGGTGATGTATCACGGAAGAACTGCTCACATACAGACCATGAATTGTTTTCTGGATACGATACAAAAGTATTGTAAAAGATTCACTCTATAAAGGCCTGACCAGGCCAGAACTGTCTGCTCCATTCAAAAGTGCACACAGCAGAGGACATGAGCAGCAGGACAAAGGGCTTTTCAGCGGCCGTGCAGATAGAGTGGACATGGATCAGGTTCTGTCCTGCTCCAAACAGAAATCTGCTCAGCTTAATTATATTACTGAGGATTTACAGAGGCGCTCTGAGGAAACAATGCACCCTATCAATTCCACAAATCAGAGCTAATTAGTGGGAATGTGTGCGTGTGTGTGCGTGTGTGTGTGTGTGTGTGTGTGTGTGTGTGTGTGTGTGTGGAGGGGCTGCACTTTATCAGCAATTTCAATCAGATCTCATTAGCCTGAGAGTGTCTTGAGCTTCACGTCTGTTTTCCCTTTTTCTTCTCAGCTGAATTTAAAATCAACAGTGATTTTGAGGGTAAAACATTAACACAGACTGCAGCCTGTATAACCAGCCTTAACCGCTTCCATAGCGACAAAAGGAAGCAGATCTCGGTTTAAACACTGAGACACATGACCCTGTTTTAAAGAGCCCATATTCTTCATTTTTGTAGTCTTTATTTCCCCAAAGGTCCACTCAAAGGGGAACTCCACTGATTTTTTAAAACTTCTGCATAAGAGTCATTCTACAGAAACGTCCATTTTTGTGACCCTAGCGTTTACAGATATATTACACTTGAAAAACATGTTAGGGTTACAATTTATTTATATTTTAAAATAAAACAGTAAGTTATTTTAACAGTTACACCTTCTTGAGCCTCAATTTAGCAATATTGGTTTTTAAATCAATCATATAGAATTCCAAGCACCACAGAAGAGCTCGTCCTCACAGTCGTGTGTGAAGGGTGAGGCTGTATTTTGAGGAAAAAAACATGTTTTTCTCCAATTTTAACTACAATAATCTATACATGACTTTGAAATATATGATTTAAATGACACAAAGAAAATAAATGACAAATAAATATTATAAAATATATAATGAAAGTTGTCCCCAGGAGTCGTGTCACTGGTGTTACTGCGTAACAAAAAATCTCTTATCCTGAAATAGAAGTCACACTGATGACATCACTTGACTTCCTTTTACCTGTTTTCTGAGGATCTATGAAGAGAAGCACATGGTGAGTCCACTGTGTCTTTCAGTTATCAGAGATTTTCTCATTTAGCTCATGATTTCATATGAAGCTTTTAGCTGAAGTCACTGGTGTGACCGACTTTATTCTTAGGTAGTTGTGAAGAAATAGAATACAACGGGATTAAATTACATATTTCAGTGGATATTCCATGATTGACCCATAATCAAATAGTTAAAATATAAACAAAGTCGGTCAGAGTGGTTTGGTGTGAAACACTCCGTTCTAGAGAAACCTAAAGAGAATTGATCACAGTGGTGGTGATAGGAACCAGACGTCCACCTCTAAAAGCTCCCTCACAGAAAGTTGTTACATGAAATGGTTATGAATTCACTGCCTGAAGTCTGAGACACTGTTTTATGTTTGTTTTGAGAGTTTGGCCTAAAATGCTGTTGTGAGCAGAAATTTTAAAAAATGGGTTGAATTCTCCTTTAAGACATTTATGTAGGTTTATGTACCAAAACAGCCATAATTAATTTTTAATGAGCATTTCCAAACTCAAGGGCTGTTTTTGTTACCTTTAATACACAGCCATATGCAAAAATTTGGTCAAATCAAGTTTTGATTTTATGAGTAAAAATAAGTTAACACATCCTCTACAGAGTCACACTAGTTACATTTTAATGCATGATTCCTGTTTATTTGCTGATTTAAATGCTGATGTTAACAAATTGGAAAATGAAATAAACCATAAGATGTGGCCTGGGCAAAAGTTATGGCACATTTTTTTTTTTATTATGTTTTGTCAAGTATTTTTATTATTATTACTTGTTTTTTGTGCAATATTTCAAGCAAATAAATGAACATTTTACACTAAAATTTGCAGAAACGTCATATTTGAGTGTGTTTGTAGAAAACAAACTGAACACATCATTTGACTGGGGGTGTTCAAACTTTTGCATGTGACTGTATATTTAAATGACCTCTAATCTGATTGGCTGCCCTGTACTGTGCCTCATTCAAAAAGCAGTCAGGGCTGAAACACTCCTCATAACTACAATTGTAGGCTATAGAGGCAGGTATATATAAATATGTTTGAGACATCACAAAAACAACTAGGGCTATGTTCACATTACCAGGCTGAAGTGGCACAAATCAGATTATTTGCCCTAATTTGACTCAGATCTGATGTTTTCAGGGCTGTGTGGACACACAAATCTGATCTTTTCAAATCTGACCTGAGCCACTTTTATATGTGGTCCAAGAACAGATACGTATCCGATTCGTGGCCTTGCGACCTTAATGTGATCGGAATTCATGTACTTTTTTTCCAATGCGCATGACTGTCATTCAGCGTTACCATGGCAGCAGCACCGAACAGTTAAAGTTAAAGCCTGTAAACGGTGGAAAAGCAGCTCATCTCACCTTTTTCTCCTTCGTCTCGCTCTAATAATGAAGCTGAGAGCTGATCAGAGTTAATGATCTTCTCAGCGAAGCTCGTTCTGCTCGTTAGTTTGTGCTGATGATGAACGTGATTCATTCACGTGACGTTACTGAGTAGGATGTGCTCATGAGGGTCATTTCAGGACGCCGGTTCGTCACACTAACGACAGATTTGAATCACTTACCTAAACGAGTGTGAACCATCGTATCAGAGAGATCGGATTTGAGCAAAAAATCAGATTTGAGAAATGAGGCTTGTAATGTGAACGTAGCCTAAGTTAAAACTGGCTCCATATATTGACTATTTACACTAGAGAGTGAAACTTTTTGTGAAACTTTTAACAACATTTCCATCTACATTAAACTCTTTTGTTTGTAAACTGTGAGGAAAATGAGTTTTTCCATTATATGTGCTCTTTAATCACTATTACTCACAGTGGCTTCTGCCGAAGAAATGCTGATAGAGGTTTCACTCTTTTTTGTAAGTCATTTCTCTGAGATTGGGGCACTAAATGACCATCTTCTTTCTATCGCTCACTGCAGGGCATCCTGGGTAATCCAGATGTCACAAAGCCAGTTGCTAAGACACAGACAGGAAAATGCTTTGAGGGGAAAAAAGTTTCATTCGGCGGTTTGCCTGAATCAAGGAGCACTTGGCCTAACATATATTGTGGAAGATAAACTTCATCACAGGCCTGATGTGATTACGTTATTTTTTCCTTTATTATATTGATCTGACCCCTGAGGGCACGAGCTTGTATGACACTGAAACATTTGCCCACATTAAGCCTAAAGCTTGTGTCCTTGGAGAAAGAACTCTTCCCACTCCGCTATGCATTGTCAGCTTAGAGCTCATGCATACAAAAGCCGCTGACCTCGAGCTGAGTTCTGCCCAGCAGGATAGCTGGACCCCCGCAGGGGCAACTTACTGCAGGCTCAGGCTTCATCTCAGCCCGAGGCCCCCTCGCTGGGCCGTTATTTAACCGTTCTGTTGCTGTGTCGGCCCCGGCACCACGACACCAAACACAATATGGCCTCCCTGCTTCTCCCTTTAATGCAACCTGGCTCGCAATATGGATGCAGCGTTTCTGTATTAGCCGCCTCCCTCCCTGCTGAGCGCTACGCCCGGCGTGAGGCCGCAGCCGGTTGGCTAAACGCTCACTGAGGTGATGAAAAGAATGCTCTGAATTCCACTGATTTTTCAAAACTTCTGCATCATTAAATAATTAAAATATAAACAACGTCATTCAGAGTGGTTTGGTGTGAAAGGAGTCAGAATTGCTCACAGTGGTGATGACAGGAACCAGACGTCCACCTCTAAAAGCTCCCTCACAGAAAGTTACTACATGAAATTCACATTGCATTACTTGTGTAGATTCATGCTACACTGTGAGCCTCAGTTGTATGCAAAACTTTGGTTATATTACTTGTTTTTGATATAGATACATTTTTAAGTTAATTTTAGTTTGCAATTTCTATTTATTTAACCACTTAGGATTAGGAAACTTGAGGGGTTTTAACACATTGGTAAAAATAAAACATAAAATGTGCTGTAACTTTTGCACAGGCCACATTTTATGTGTTATTTTCTTCTCAATGTGTTAAATTCAGCAAATAAACAGGGGTTGTGCACTGAAATGTGCAGAACTGTGTCTCTGTAGAGGATGTGTTCACTTATTTACACTCAAATCAATAACAACATGGAATTTAACCATGGATGCCTAAACCTTTGCACATTACTGTGTGTGAAAAGATATGTGCACTTTTAGGAACATTTAAGGATCCACGTTGATATTTGGTGTTTTATGGTATATACAGCAATCAGCCATAACATTAAAACTACCTCCATGTTTCTACACTCATTGTCCATTTTATCAGCTCCACTGACCAGAGTTTCACTCTGTGGTTCTACAGTTACAGACTGTAGTCCATCTGTTTCTCTGCATACTTTGTTACCCTGTTCTTCAGTGGTCAGGACCCCCATAGGACCCCCACAGAGCACGTATTTTTTGGGTGTTGGGTCATTCTCAGCAGTAACACTGATGTGGTGGTGGTGTGTTAGGGTGTGTTGCGCTGGTGTGAGTGGATCAGACTGAAATTTAAAGTAAGGAGTGGAGTGTTACAGGTCAATGGAGGTTTTTTTTGTGGTTTCATGTTTTGGTATTTATTGTGTGTGGGAGTTTCCTGCACTCTTAAAAAAGATGGTTCTCCAAGGGTTCTTTAGTAAATGGTTCTATATAGAGACGTTTCATGCTTAAATGGTTCTTTGCATGGTGAAATGGTTCCTCAGACGGATGGAGAGTGTGTTGCATATGTTTCTAT